TGGTGACGAGCCCAGCGAGCGTGGGCGAGGAGCTGTGAAGGGCTGTGGCCGGCTCCCTGCAAGCCCTCCCCGACGCAGCCCTCCTCCTCCTCCTCCTCCGTGCTCCAGGCACCTCCTTTTGTTTAGTCTTGCAAACCCTCATTGCAGCCTATAATTAGCCAAAGCGGCCCTGCTGTAATCCCAGCCTGACCAGGCATCCAAAGGGCAGCAGGCAGCGAGCACCGGGCTCAGGAGCGGCTCCGCAGCCCCACACTTGGGGTACTGGTGGGGGGTCCCACGGCCTCGGGGTCGGAGGGTGGGCTGCAGCCACCCTGGTGCCCCGGAGCAGCGTACGGACCGGGCCAACGTGGTGGTGGCCCCTTGCAAAGGGTGCGCGGGAGGAGGGAGGATCGCAGCCCCGGGGATTGGGAGCGGGGCCACGTACCCCCGGGCAGCGCTGCTGCGGGCAGACGATGTTGCTGGCAGGAAAGGCAGAGCAAGAAACCAGCGGTGCAGGGCTCAGACATGATATTCAGCCAGGGGAAATGTTCACCTCCCTGCCCTGACATTTCCAGTGAGCACATTTATATATATATGTATTTTTTTAGCGGGTCCTGGCTTAGCACAGCCCCCCTCGATGGCTGGGGCTCTCCTCACCCCTTCTCTCTCGTCCCCAGTGCACGAAAACCTGCGGCATCGGTGTGAGGATGCGGGACGTGAAGTGCTACCAAGGGAAGGACATCGTCCGGGGTTGCGACCCGCTGGTGAAGCCGGTGGGCAAACAGACCTGTGACCTGCAGCCCTGCCCCACGGAGCCCCCAGGTGAGCCCCACCGCCGGCTTTCGTTGTCCACTCATCCCCCCAAACAGCACCGTCCAGCATCTTAGCTTCCACCAACCCCCAGTTTGATAGCCCCAGGGAGGACATAAAGGGGACAACTCTCCTTCTGTGCCCAAATAATGGGGCACCATGCGGTGGCTATTTCTGCAGGTAACCCCGTTAAATCAAGGGGAGAGTTCAAAAGAAGCATGCTCTGACCTTAAGATAAAAGGCAGATTTGGAGAGCTGACTTGGGTGCTGCTTCGGTGTGATTCCAGCTAACATCTAGGAAGTTTGGGCTGTGCCATTATTTTAATGATTTTTGGGCTCCAAATCTCCTGTGGGATTTGTAACTATCTTGTTATCTGACTCGTCTGCTGGCTCAAAGCCCCTGTGATCTTTAGTGAACACACGGTTCTAATTCTTTAATAGGATTTGGGAATAAGGACGGTGTGGCAGAAAAGCATGAAAATGGGAGACAGATTTGGGGCCAGCTCCTGGCTCGGCTGCGGTCCCGCTGGGTGCCCTCGGCTGGCGTCTCCTGCGGGCTCCGGGACGCGGCACGGTGCTCGTGAGGCGCCTCGTGGCCCCCACGTAGCAAGCTGCCTGCCCTAGGAGCAGCCTGGTTTCATGCATCCCGTGGATTTTAAGAAAAAAAAATTATTATATATATATATAATTGTAAGTCCTATAGGTTTGAAGCAAAACGCTGCTCTGAAGGAAGCTGGGAGAGTGTGGAAGTGGTGTCTGGCCTCCTCCCTCTCTCCAGCAGCTCGCTTGCCCCTGAGTCCTGCTGTGGCACTGCTAGATTGCCATTCCCTTTCTCAGGTAGCCTCTTTGGGGCAGAAATTGGGAGTATGCTGGGGTCACCCTGTGCCCTACCAGGGGAGCCCCTCAGCTCGGGGGCGGCTCAGCGCCAGCCTCCCTTGGTGGCTCCAGCAATCCCCAGGCAGCTCTGTTCCGCAGGGAAGAGCTCGAATTTTAGGGCTGGGACCAAATGAGGCTCCCTAGGCGAGGCCAGGTGCGATGAAATGAGTCAACCTTCTCGTTCCTGTGCTTGGGTTGATGATGATATTTATGGAGAAGCTCCACGGTGTTTTCCAGGGGATGCTCTGCCAGATACCGGGGAGGCGGCAGACGCAGCTGGGGTGTTTAGGGCAGGCTGCGCACGGGGAAAAATCAGCTCGTGAACTTGCGCTGGTTTATTCTCTTTTTCTTTTCCACATCGGTGCCTTTTGCCTTTTCTCCCTCAGACGACAGCTGCCAGGACCAGGCAGGGACCAACTGCGCTTTGGCCATCAAAGTCAACCTGTGCAGCCACTGGTACTACAGCAAAGCCTGCTGCCGCTCCTGCCGCGCGCCCCACTCCTAGTGCCCGGCAGCATCCAGCACCCCCGGCACACGCCGCGCCGGCACCCCCGGGCTGCGCCTCCCTTCGCAAGGGCTCCGTGTACCATTTAGTAAGCGCTACACATCCCACAGGCTGGTGTTAAGGATGCTTTTGGGTTGGTTTAGTTGTTTGCTTCCCCCCCACCACCACCACCACTGATGCAGAACTACTATCCTTGTCCCTCTCCCGCGTAGAGGAACGGTGCCGGCACGGCTCGGTTGCAAAGCCGTTACCGCTGTACATTGGTAGCCCTCGTTATCAAAGCTGTACATAAAAGTCGTGTATATTTGATTCCCCCGAACTGCAGACACACCGCACGTGTTTCACGAGGTCCTGTCCTTCGGTTTCTTTCCTCTACGCAAGTTTGGGGGTTGACGATGAGAAGCGCAGGTTTCCCTTCGCCGAGGGGGTTAGTGCCCCTCTCCTAATTTATCCCCGAGACCTGCGCTCTCTCGTTAGCTGCATTTAATGTGGTGGGAAGCTGATTTTCGTTTGCTAAATGAACTCAAGCCCGAGCCCTTTTTTTTTTTTTTTTTTTTTTTGTAATATGTAGGTGTATACTTTTTCAGAGAATTTTATCTTATAATCAAATGTTAGTTCCATAGTCCTTACAACCCCCCCCCGTAATGCTGACATATTGTATATAATATGGAAACATAACTGCACTTTATATCACAAAAAAGACGTGCTCTTTTTTAATATATTTGTTTACAGACAGTGAACTTTATCCATATAATCATTAATTTGTACTCATATGTATATTTTAATAAAGTTGTCATATTTATGGTGGTATCTTGTTTTATTCTCCAGTTTGTAGTGGGTGCTTACCCCGTGTGCTGGGAACGCTGGAGTTGGGGCTATGATCTTGCTGGTGCCTGGGGGGAGCAGAGCAGCTTCAAGCTGGGGAATTGCGGCTGCTCGGGCAGTGACGCCAGGAAAAGTCCCAGCAGTGGGGGAACTGGGGATTTTGGGGATGGTTGCTCTGGGTTAGGGGCCCTTTGGGGCTTTGCGTGAAGCTTCTCAGGAGCTTGTAAGCAAAGAGGGTACGGTGCCAGCAAGAAAAGGGCCTTTCCCTGCTCCCAAGGGGGGATATTGCTCTGTGCTTCTGCATCTCTGTCTTTCTGTTTCACCGAAGCCGGGCCAAAGGTTCTTTAGCATCCCCCATCCCACTGCGTGCACCCCAATTACCGCCGCATCGCTCCCCTCAGCAGTGAGGAAACTCTGCACCAACACCCCGTGTTTGATGATGCCGGCACAAAAAGGTCAGCCTCAAAACCCATTTCAAAGTAATTTATTTCTCTCTCTTTTTTTTTTTTTTTTTAAATTTTTGTTGGTCCCCGTTCCCCCCCAACCCCCCCTTAAATTCCCAAAGTCCTGTACAACAGATCACCAGGTGAAGGTTAGTGAAAGCCAACCGTTTGCTTAGTTTCCTAGCGACACGGGAAGGAAAAAAGACGATAGAAAAAAAAGGGAGAAAGGGAGGCTGGTAAGAGAAGTACGGTCACGAGAGATGCCAAGAAGAGGAGGGCTCGATGGTGGAAACAAACCCCGATGAGAACTGTACACAGGAGCGTGGTCGCGGCGGCTGCCGTCCCCCTCGGAGCAGAGGCATCATCGTGCTGCTGGTTCACAGCGCCGCAGGGACCGAGCCCAGAATATTAAACACGTACGAAACCAAACCCAGTTCCCCCCCCTCCCCAACCCCAAACAGAACCCGAGAAAGTCAAAGATACTCATTTGCAAAGACGGACTTGTTACTTCAAAAGGTTTCCCGTGGAATCAAAAGCCCTCGCGGTTAAACATAAAATCTCCAGCTGGGCTGCAAACAGTGTTTGGGAGCCGACGGGGCTGAAGCCACGGCTTTTTCTTCCCGTCGCATCGTTAAAAAGCAAAGCTGACCCAGAGCACAGCGCTGAGGCCATTCGAGTCTCTTTGCAGCCAGTCCGTCCTCCGCCAGCCGGCCCCAAGTCCAGCGCGATGCTTTTCACCCGAATAATACACAATCCGGGAGAAAAGAGGGTGTTTTGTCAGCCAAACTTGTGAGTATTGCAAGGGTGGAAAGGAGGAACCAGGACAGCCAGGAGAAACCAGAGCGTGAGCGTCCCCACACAGGCACCGCAGCAATGAGCGATTCCTCCTTCCAAAGAACTAAATTAACCAAACGGCTCTTCTGCAGCGCATTTAGCGCAGAGGGATGCGCTCAGTGGCCGGTTCCGTGCCTGCTGCTCGGCCGGGTGCAGGGTGGCCGGCAGAGCTGGGGCAGAGCCGGTGCCGCGGCCTCGGCCAGACCGCCCGGCCGTAGGAAAGGGCTCGATGAAAAATGCAAAAGAGGTGGTTTTGCCTAAATCTAAAGCGGTTTGACCCATTCCTGGATGGGGAGAAAATGTCACGGCTTTTTTTTTTTTTTTTTTTAAAAAAGAAAAACCAAAAAACAACACAAATGCATGTAAAAATGTGCATGCAGGGAGGTGGGCACGTACACGGGCACGGGCTTGGTCTTGCCCGCCCAGCCTTCAACCAGAAGTCGTGTATGGCATTATTTGGAGCGGGGATGCTGATTATTCGGAGGGGGCGGCTACGGGTGTATTTGTCCAACTGCAGTCACGCTGTGTGTTATTTCCATAGCCAGGTAACGCGATGGGTTTGCAAACCCTCCCAGCCCAGCTCCACTGGGGGGGCAGTGGAGCCGCTCCGGGGGTTCGGAGGGGCAGGGACAGGCTGTGCACCCACTGACCATCCTAACCCTGAGGGGATCGCGCCTGTCACCCGGGAATAAAGGACCAATTGAGGAGTGAGAGAGGCTGGGAACAGGGCAGGGCTGTGCACACACACGCACGGGTGCAAGAGGGGGTGGGAGAGGGGTGGGCAATAGCATCCCTGCTTTGCTATGGGACCATGGGGGGGTGTTTGGGTGCGTGTGTGTGTGTGTGTGTGTGTGTACTAGGGCCAGGCGCAGTCGGCTGCAGCGTGCCCCCACGCCACGGCAGCAGAACGAGCCATTCTGCAGCCACCCCTGTGCCCCATCACTTGCTTGTCATCATGCAGCACTCCAGCCGAATGCTGAGGAGGGGCTTTTACTCTGTATAAAAGGATGCACAATATCAAAATCCTCTTTATAAAAGAAAAAAAAAAAAAAGAGAATGCAACGCAGTGCTAGAAAACCTCACATCGCAGCTGCAACCGTCCTCCCCTGTGCTCCCCTTTTGGGTTTGTTTGGGTTTTTTTGCTACCCCTTTATATTGCCGTTTAGCACGTCTCTGCCTACAGAATGTAGAAATACAATCTGTTTTGGTTGTGTTTGTTTGTTTTTTTTTTTTCTTTTTTCTTTTTTTTCTAAACACCTCCGTGAATTTCAAAAAGTTCTCCCCTCTCTCAAGCTCTCCGGCAGCAGCGGCGAGGTACGATGTGATGCCCCGGGGCTGGGGGCGCCCTCACACGTCGGTGCTTATGCTGCGGCTGCGGGAGAAGGCTTCCCGCATGGCCGAGAGCCGGTTGGGGTTGAGCGCCTGCAGGTTGGCCACGCTCACCGGCAGATCGAGGTCTTCCTGGCTCACCGTCTTGTAGCTCACCCGGTCGCCCCCGTTGTGCAGCTCCTCGGGGGGCTCCTGCAGGAAGAAGGTGGGGGGCTCGTACGGCACGCAGCCGGGGCAGCCGGGCCGGCTCGGTGCCG